CTAGACCCTTCTCTGCCCCACTTCCGGGTCGTCCTGAAGTCCGAAGCTCTGCTTCCCACGCTCTTCCGGCATGATGCTCTGCATTGTCCGAGCCCAGAAACAACGACGCCATCAGGCCATGGACCGACACCTCCTAACCGTGAACCAAGAGAGAGCCTTCCTCAAGCTGTTTGCCCAGTTTGTCACGGAGACAAGAAGCTGACTAACGCAGCAAGGAATTTTTCCTTCCTATGAATTAATTTTAAAATAACTCATCCTTAACTTTTTTCAGGACTGCATAATGTGTGACACTAGATACATATGGCTTCATGCTCCTTCTAATAACGTCTGGGCTGGAGAATCGAGTTTGCCCGTGTGAAGGTCTCCTCTCAGAGTTGGGAACTCACTGTTACATTGAATGTGATTCATTTAAGGTTTAAATTTGCTTCTGGCAAAATGTGGCTTCCTAGCTTAGAAAAAGTCTCTGAAAAAAAAAAAAATCTCTCCCTAAAATGGCACTATGAAACACACTGCAGTCTACAACATTTTAGTGACCTCACTGTAAATGAATTAGAAACATTCAAATGCAATTTACTTTAAAATAGATCTGGGTGTTAAAATAAGGGGCAGCTGCCAGTGGGATTCTTCTGACTTCAACCAAAGAGATGTCTGCCCCAGTAAGATACATTGTGATTCAGAACAAATAAAAGAACTTAAAAAAAAAGGCATTACAGTTACAATTCAGTATGGAAGAAAAAAACTTTCTAATACAGAAAGAGGGAAAAAAAGGCATCATGGGAAAACTCTTTTTACGAACATCTATCTTTGAGAATAGTCTCATTTGAAACCATTTAATGCCTATTTTTCATTCGCAAAGCTATAATGTGGGTCAGAATGCCTAGCCCCTGAAAGTTCTCACACGGGAAAGCCTGAACCCGAGTGGTAGTTGGCTCTAGTGTAACATTCTGGACATACTATGTCTCATCAACCCTGTTCGTTACTACTTCGGCTGGACTACCATGAGGAAGGCTGCTCCCACTGCGCAGCTGGGAGAATGAGGAGACCAAATGGCCACTTGGTTAGTATGAGGCAGAGGCGAGAACACAGCCCCACAGACTGTGCTAACCTCCACACACAATCTCTCTTTGAAGGGCTCCCAGGAAATGTAAGCCTGGGTTAAAGTGTTTCACCTCACAGAAATGCAAGGGTTTCTATGTTGCATAAAAACAGCAAGTAGAATATTCTCTAATAGCAAAATGATTCAAGTTCCCAGGAAGCAGAAACTATATTGGATATGCACAGATTCTCCATCCCTCTCTATGGATGACGAGTGCTTTAAATATCCTTGAAAATTTCCCTAGTGCGAGATATTAAATAAATAAAATTCTTATTTGGCAAATATGCAGGTAAAACTAAGAATTCTAAAACTCTTGTTTGAGTGAACATCTCTACTTATGGCGTTTACTGCCTTTCCAGTGAGGAGTTCTAGTTTGTAAAAGTTTCTCCTGAGATATTATAACTAGAAATATTTCATATTTCTTTTTGTTTTCTAAGCCTTTTCAGGTGAGGAGGAGTGAGACAAGCTTATGCTATGTAGCCCAGGCTTCCCTCCAACTCATAGAAATCCTTATGCTATGTAGCCCAGGCTTCCCTCCAACTCATAGAAATCCTTATGCTATGTAGCCCAGGCTTCCCTCCAACTCATAGAAATCCT